AGTATATGGGATGATGAATTTGCATTAACTGTCTTGGGAGGGATATTATAAAATTTGAGACAAGGCATTGGAAAGTGTGCAGAATTAAAATGTTGCACAAAACAAGAGATTGGTTCTCGTAAGATTATCTGTGATCTTTTCCATTTGTAAGTGAGCTTATGAATCACATTTAAGGAAAGTGAAAATGATACTGATAAAATTTTCTAAAGTTATCTAAAAAGCTTGATTACTCTATCCTTCATTTCAGTAAATCCTATCCTGTTTATTAAAGTAAGAAATAAGGAACTTTGGGTTTCAGAGATGCTAGATGAAGCAAAATTTACAGACTGAAATAGAGGTCTCCAAATCATTTTGAAGAAAGACTCAGTGCTAGTAATATGAATCACTTGCTGTACCCAAAGCTCTGTTTTAAGTACTTAAGTGTGACATCTCACTGTGGCCACTTAGTAATCATGTGAGACAAAATATTTCAATTTTACATGGAGGAAAGGGAGGCTTAGAGGTGACAGCTCATAGAAGTCCACATATCTAAGAGTTAGGATAATCAGGATTTTACCCATATTTGTATGAACCTAAAACCTTGGCACTTTCTACATTGTCATCTGACTTACTAGCCCCAGCAAATCACCCGCATGCTACTCCCACCTGCCGTAAAGAAAGAAGGTGTGGACTGTAGGTTAGGGGAACAAGTGGGTGAAGCTTAGTACATCAGCTAGTGAATAACGGGGAGTTCTACGTGGGCATTAGGGTACCTCGTAGTACAGCTGACAGGACAAGAAAGAAATGGACCATGATAAAATTCTAGAATCAGGGACTTAAATGCTATTAGAGCAGTTTTTTATTTTCTAAATAAAAAGTCTTCTGCTTATTCTCTCATTGCCATCTTCATTCCATCTCATGACAGACAGGACCAAAGACAGCTCCCGAGCACTGAGTGCTTTGTCTTCCTGTAGTAACCATCGTGACACAATCTCAGATGCAAATCATTGGGAAGAACCTTAATGAGCTGAGTTGGGCCCCATAGGTCTGCCTCTGCACTAAGAAACTGAAGCTGAGGAAATAGAACAGAAGAGGCATTCTGCTGTGTAGAAGGAAAACTTAGAGATCACTGGACATGTGACCTCCATTCTCCAGGACCTTGGTGTATCAGGACTGAATAGTGCCAGGGATGTCTATGAGGCATTCATCTGGGAGAGAATTCCCAGATGAAAAATATGTTGAGGTCCCAAATATCTCAAGAGTCATTTCTTTTTCCTTTACATGTGGTCTATATCAAATCATTTAAGCTTTTGAAAAATCTGGCTTCGCTAGTATTTCTCTTAAGCCTGTAGGTAAAAGTGAATTTTACATTTGTGAAATTATCATTATATTCAGGGATGCCTGGTTTAAGCTCATTGAAGAAATATTAACTGTGCATTACTTGTTACAGATGCATATTTCATATCACTGGATCAAAATGTTTAAGTGGTCTCTGGAACTTGGAGTTTACTAAGGAGCTTGTATAATTTTCGTGAATAGCAAAGTTGAACAAACTTTGGCCTAGTGGGTGACTGTCAAACATACCCTTGGCTCTGGCATTCTTTGTTGGTGATGTATACCCTGGTGCTGATGTGGGACAGATGAGGCTGGGCATTCAAGGAATTTTCAGGAAGCAGGTTTATTTAGTGTAGCAGTCCAGAGGGGCTCATGCCTGAAAATCTCTGGACCCTGAGTCTGGAAATTCTAAAACTTTATACTCAGTGGGGTGGTTACATGTCAGTGGTGGGTACATATTACTTACCCTTTGTCCCTATTCTTAGGCTCCACAGAGGTTTGACAAAATTTTCCAAGAAAACAGAGATGGTATCTTTTGCATAGCAACAAGCTCTCTTTGAAAAAGACTCTGTCACACCTTTGTAGGCAAACCTGGCAGAGGAATCTTCAAACCACAATGTTGTCTACAGACTTCCTGCTGGTACTCTTGGTAAAATCTCAGTGACAAAAATGGGAAGGACTTTTGGGAAAGCTTAATTATGGCAAGGGTCTTTTGGCTGGGGGTACCCGGTCTGCTTCAGTGCAACTTTTATTGGAAATGAATTTGCTGTATGTGAAGGATCCTTAAAATATTACAATCCTTACTCCTATTAAATTCACTTCTGAAAATCCTTCTCCTAAGGAAATGTTGTAAAATATAGAACAATGAAGCAGTGAGTATAGAGTATAACACATAATTCTATTATTTTCTCTACTCTTATTATATCCTAAAGACATCAAGGTAATAGTTATGTAAATTTTGGTAGTCTTCTTCAATGTAAATTTACGTTATTCAGACATTATACATTATAGCTGTTTATAAAGAGTATATAGTAAGTTGACAAAATGCTTTTTGTGGTTTGAATATGAGGTGTCCCCTAAAACAACACATCAAGGTGCAGAAGTGAAATGATCAGATGAGGTCTGTAACATAATCAGTGGACTTATTCATTTGATTGGTTAATAATTTGAATGGATTAACTAGATAATAACTGTAGAGTTGTGGCTGGAGGAGGTTAGGTAGCAGGGGACCTGCCTTTGGGATTTATATATTTCTTTGGCTTCCCAGAAATTATGAGCTGAACAGATTTTCGACCCTGATACCATGATGTTCTGCCTCAACATAGGCCCTAAGCCCTAGAGCCAGCTGACCATGGAATAAACCTCTCAAACTGTGAGCCCAAATAAACTTTGCTCCTCTAAATTCTCTTGCCAGTTATCTTGATCACAATGATGCAAAGCTGACTAATACAAGGCCAAGATAATGAGAAAAATAGATCACAATTATATTTGCCAAAGTTACAAAGCAGCTTTATACTAAAGAAAAGACCAGAAGGAAACACATAGAAATAATAATGATGGTTCACTGAATTATGAACACTTTTTTTCATCCTCTCCGCTTTTATTTTTAAAATGTTGTATAATAACAATTGTTGAAATAAGATTTAAATTAAAATAGTATCCATGAAGTTAAATATAATTTTATCACTCTAAAAGAAATTTGGAGAAACAAAAAGTATCACCACTTCCTTCCTGCATCTGGATGTAGACATATTATGAAATAACTATCCCCTTAACAGACTCCTATAATTATCTCTTCCTTATTTTCAACTTTATTTTCTGTGCCAAGTCCCCTGGATATATTTCTTCTTGTTCTTATCCTCTTTCTCAAGGCTACAGTCCTACATTGGCATCCTGAGAACTGAAGCTGAGTTTCCCAAACTCACTACCATAAGTTACAAATAGTGACCTGCGCAGTAATTACTATACCCATACCATTCACAACTTTCTCTTAGGCCCTAGTATTGCAGATCTTTCTGGACATCCATGTGGACCATTCCAAGAGAAAACAGAACCTGAGAAATAAAAGAAGACTTTTGAAGCTGTTTCTTTTTGTGCCTCTCTCTAGGTATCACCTTCAAGGTAATTTTTGCCCTTCACTGCCCTTCATACTCCATATTACATTTTCTATATAATGCATTAGATTTTTTTCTCTGAAATCCCAAGCCAGTGAGTTTTTGCCATGTTCCTTTTGTGTCCTACCAATTGGGCATTTCAAACCTCACATTGCATTAGAAGTTTGTCAGACTCCTCAGACTCTCATTGGCTCCTGCAGTCTGCCTCTGCAATTGTATCCCACAGCATTCCCTGCTTTAATTTCCTTTCTTTTCCAAAACCAACAATTGTAGTGTTTTTATCTTCTGTCTTTTAACGTGTGTGTGTTCTCAAGAGCTTCAGTTTTTGCTGTGCATATTTAACTTCTGTTATCTGATCTCCTGCTACAGTCTTTATGTTGCTCCTTTCCCTTCCATACAGCATTCCATGCTGAAGGTACCCTCATGTTTCTGTGGCTGCCGCTTTGAACTGCTGTCCTGTTTCCTGGAGCTCAGCTTACATGGCTTGTTTACTTTTCCTGCATTCAACACCTGCATTGGCTTCTACCTGACAGCTCGTTGTTTTAAAAATATTTGTGGCAAGTTCTTATGCTGCAACTCTTCTTAACTGGGAGAGAAGAGAAGCCAAATAAAATGTACCACCTATAAGTAGCAGGCAGGTTCCATCTTCTAACCAGAGCTAAATTAAGTTGAATCTTGGAACAAATTATTTATTTGGGGGGAAAAGAAAAGGTAATGGGAATTTTAATTAGAAAGTGTTCACCCTTTTCAGTGGTTAGAAAAGAGAAACTGAGGCCAAATTAATCAGATTGTCTTTGAAGCAGAGGCTGCATCTCTACTAGTTATATAATGTGGATACAATTTTTAGCAAAACTTGGACTTTGGATATGAATTGATATTTATTTCTGATTTCAGATTAATTGAAATTTATGATTTCTCTTGTGCATTGTATTTACTGTTTTGCTTTCAGAAGTTCTTTACTGTTGATGTAGAGCTGATATCATGAAGACATCAGCAAGGACCTGCATACATGAATGTCATTCACTCTTTCATCATGACTCTGCTGAGTATTGCTATATTCCATGCCCTCCTGCAAGGACCGGAGCTGAGACAGGTGATAACATAAAGTTATGCTCTCATGAAATTTTTATTTCATCCTTCAAGTATGATTGGGAAAAGATACTGTTTTTTTCTTAATTCTCTCCTAAATATACTTAACCTGGGTTTTCCTTAGCTAGTATCCTCATTTACAAATTCATTAATTACTAATATACTAATTGCTTGGGCTGGGAGAAATGTCACATGACCTAAAATGCCATACTTCAGGGAACATAAGCTTTCAAAGAAATCATTTGTAAGAATGTAAAATAGTGGTTGTGTTAATTAAATATGGTGAAATAAAGCCATCAATATCCACTTTCCTCTATGACGATGATTCCAGAGAGGAGAAAATAAAAATGTCATCCCCACTTTGGTAGCATGAAGTGGTAGCCACAAATACAGATCACAAAACATAAAGAATTTGTAAAATAGAGTGTATAAAAATAGAGGACAAAAGTCTCCTCCAACTTATGGATGGATATTTCTCTAAAATAAATGCCAATGCAATGATACTTTAATTGTCACATGACACAAAGGTGTACAAGGGTGTAGAAGAGGATGTCATCCATGGAGACCACAGTGAAACTCAGGAGACAAGCCAGAAGGAAGAGGCCAGAAGATTTGTCAACTTCAGCAAAAACATTATTGCTTGAAGCAACCACCCAGGAGCTGTATGAAGGAGAAGTGACAGCAGGTGACACCCAGATGCCATAACTTCCGGAACTTCACTGTGAGCCCTGCAACCCCTTAGATGTCCAAACTGGAGGAATGTACACTCTCAGGCCAAGGGCACTGGCTGAGGAGTCCTGAGCTCATTCATGGAAGGGCAGGCTGCTGACTTCCTGGGCCCTTTGCTTCTGCCAGCTTCCTCCCTCTCTGGGAGCAAATAACCATCTTCTCCAAGCGTTAAGCTCCTATAAACAGAAAAGAATTAGCTCAGAAGTTATGCACAGACTCCTACATTAAAATAATAATAACAAAGTGGATGAGAGTAAGCAAAGCAAAGCAGCTAGACTTCATCATAATTACTCCAGAAACTAACCAAGCAACAGACACCAGAATTCTCTGAACATCCAGTCTCTATGAAAACAGAGTATCTCAAAGGATGGATTTTAGATATCAAAGGGAAAAGGAACTGACAATATAATAGAAGGAAGTTTAAAAAGGGAATAAGAATAGATTGGAAAGAAATGGGTGAGAAAAATAAGACTACTGCAGAGATGATAGTCACATTTGAAACAACATTAGAACAATGCTAAAAAGAAAAAAAAATGCATTAAATAACAGGACTGAGAACAGCCAGGGAAAGGAAGTCAGGATCAGAAAAAAAAAATCATACAGAGAACATAACAAAAAGAATGTAAACTAATTAAAAAAAAACAATGTGAAAGATAAGAATGGTCTATAAAATAAATTTAGGAGCATGTTTCATATTGGAAATTTATTTTCAATAAAGAGTAATTCAGAATAATCTATACATTTTTCTATGGTGATCTTGTTGGTTGCAAAGAACAAGGATGGGTGAAGACTTTCGGGAAGGAAATGGACATCCCTCCCTTCCCTGCTCCTGGGAATCTGTAGGTACTGAGTGAAGAAATGGGACCTGGGGAGGATGTCCCCAGAACAGCGTGAGGAAGCCCTGCTTCTCTTCTCAGGGACCTCATACACCTGTGTTAGAACTGACTACTGGGGCATGACGTGTCCCAAGGCAGTGGGCTGCAAGGACACTGTGGATTCTCTGTAACCTCCTCATGGTGGGCTGAGGATGCTAACCGAGCCAGCCGAAGCAGTACTTTTGAAGTATTTTCTGTACTTACATCCAAACATAATCAAGATAATGCTAAAGGCAGGTTGGAGAAGGTGACCGTACACAAGAAAAGAGGACCCACAACAAAGCCAACCCTGCCAACACCTTGGTCTTAGACTTCCAGCCTCCAGAGCTGTAAGAAAATGGAAAATCTTTTTTCCAGCTCATGGACTGTGCTGTGTTGTTATGATGGTCCTGGGAAACTAAGGCCATGACCGAAGAGGACTTGGAAAAATTTGTCTCTATTCATTTGTGCTTCTAAAACAGAATATCTGAGACTGGGTGATTTATAAAGAACATAAATTTATTTTCTAATGTTGTAGAGACTGAGAAGTCTAAGATTGAGGCACAGGCAGATTTGAGAACTGGTGAGCGCCTGTCTCTGCTTCCAAGGTGGTATCTTGAATGCTGCTACTTCCAGAGTGGAGTAATGCTGTTCCTCATGTGGCAGAACAGCAGAAGGGGTGGGCCCCATCCTGAGAGTCCCCATGATCTAATAACCTCTCAGCAGGACCCACCTCCCAACACATGAGTTTTAGAGGGGACAAAAGCATAAACATAGTAATCATCATTGTGGAAAACACTTATAGAGCATTTAATACATTCTACACAATGTCCTATGCACTTGCAGCCATATTTCATCTTACCAGAGTTTTAAGAGAAAGATTCAATGCACTAATATTGGCAAGATGCTTGGAAAAGCATTCAGCAGGTATGGTGGCCATGCCTCATTTCCTAGCTACACAGGAGGCTGGGATGGGAGGATTGCTTGAACCCATAAGTTGGAGATCAACCTGGAAAACAGAGTGAGACCCTGTCCCCCTAAAAGAAAAGATTCTACCTGTTGATATTTTCTACATTTTTGAGGGAACCAATAAGGCAAAGGCCCAGGACAGTCAAGTCACTTCTTTACCTTTTCACGGGTGAACATGTTAGCATCTCATCCCCTCCCACAGAGTCAGAGAGGACAAAACAGGGCTCACCAGACACAAGAGCTGCATGCAGCAGGACAGGGGAATTTTTTATTTGAAGTCTCTTTTCACTTTTCCCAAAAAGACATGGGTTGGTAGAGTAATAAAAAAAAGAGAGAGAGAGAAAGAGAGAGAGAAAGAGAGATACAAACATAAGAGTCAAATGTCTCCCACACTAACACTTACAAAAAACTGGGAATTGTACATAGGATTTCCAAACATGACCTGCAGCAGCTACTAATGTTCCTTTATAAGAGTCAAACATGCCTATTAATACAGTATATACAAAAACTCCATTCTGGAACTAATCTACAGGGACTTCCCAACATCCACCCCCTCTATCCCCAGAAAAATACCAAAACACATCCAAAGTACATTTGTTTTGTTTATATCAAAACAGCTTTCCCTCTCCCCACCCCACCCTCAAACCCTCCCAACCAATTTAAGATTGGCCAGCAAGTGTACTTTAACAATTTAGTCATTTTTTATAGTTTATGAAAATAAATTATACAGCAACTATTTTAATAAACTAAGCACAAACAGAGAGAGACAAGGAGGAAAACCAAATGGGAAGACAAAAGCCAGGCCAAGTTTTGTCTTGAAGGAGGACAGGGTGGGCTTAAGAGGACAGAGTGATTGCAGGGGTGTCTCCCCTTCTGGGGAAAAGTTGGCAACCACCTGAGCCCAGAATTACAATCCTCTTCTTTGAGTTTCTTAAAAGCAACATGTGCAGCAGGGTTCTGAATGGGCAGCACCTAACAACCAGCCTGCCCAGATCAGGGCCTTGGTCCTGCCTCTCCCTCAATAGAGTACCAGGGATAGAGTCATCAGACCAGCCTGCCCCCTCTGCTGGAGCCCAGCTGTGGGCATTATGTGATCACCCTGGCTCTGAGAAAGAGTGTTCCATTTTCCTTACACTCCATCTCCAGGAGCAACCGCGATCACAGTCCAGCTGCAAACAGACATTCATGTCTTCCCATCATGGCTGGCTGCCTTTCACCGGTCCCTGGATGCTCCTTGACATTCTGGGGCCAGGGGTAGGAGAGGGGAAGAGAGCAGTTCCTGGTACCTCGTGAAACCCTCTGAAGGTTAAATGGGAGTGAAGACGTGTCACACACTTAGCATGAGGACTGGCTTCCCAGGAGGTAGATGAGAGTAGGAAGGAAAGGGAGAAGGTGTAGAAAGGACAGAAAGAAACTAGATGATACCTACCAGGAAGGCCAACTAGCAATGAAAAGGACAAAGATGGCATAAAATTTGCATGTAAAGAAAGGTCCTTCTCTGAGAGATTAGAGAACCAGGATTCTAAATGCAACTTACTCTAGTGCCACGCACTGTAGTTCAGCCCCATCTCACTCCTCCTAAAACTTTGTTCTCCATTTGCTCGAGCACTCCAGGACAGCAGTATCTTGATGGATGTAGCTGTGAACACTGCAGGGTGGTAAAACAACTCTGAGTCCCATACAAAACTGAGGGGTTGTCCCTCGTCACACATAAGGTGGCATGCTAGGGGAGGGCACGGAGAGATGCACATTAAATCCTCCATACCAACACACATCAGTTCTCAGTTAAACCCATATTTTTGATTAGTACCTCTTTCTGAATACCCCAATAAACAGTTGGGTCACTTCTGCTTATAAAATGGAATCAGTGGCTGAATATTAGTCTACAGAAATGAACCCTTTAAGAAGCTAACCTTTCAGAGTTAGAAGAAAATAAAGATTCTAAACTGCCATTATTTTAAAAAATCAGACAAGAGCATGGATGGGTATTTTCTGAAGTCCAGGATATCTATCCTTGTTTACAATAGGTAGAAACTTCTCAGGCTTGCTTGAGCTGCCCAGGCTAATAATTTCAGGAACTCTCATATTATTTGATATTTTCTTCATTTTTTTCATCTTTTATTTCTTCTATAGGATTACTCATAACACAAGAAAATACAAGGACAGGAAAAGAGACAATGTATGACTCACATGTCAAGGTCAACACCACAGGCAGCTCATTTCTTTTTGGATTATGTGCAACATCCTTATTTCACACTTTTGAAGATAAGACAGGAAGTAGGTATGAGCAAGGGAGAATTAAAAAGAGAAAGCTGTGTAGTTGCAAAATTGTGTGTAAATGAGTGCCTCTTCCTAATTCCAAGAGCATCTTCATGGCCATGAGCCACCACCTGTTCTTGGCAGATGCCACCATCATTAATCTGTCAACACATACCAATTTATCCTCTATACCCACAGCACTCCTAGCAGGAAAACAATATGTTTTCTCTGGTGACTAGTTTTCTTTCTGTTTGATGTAACTGCCATTTTTAATTTCCCTTGAAACCACCATTTTGTCTTCTTCCCCTTACTGTGAGGGTATTCAGAGATCTGTATCCCAGTAGCAGGTGCACCTCACCTCCAAACAGGTGGCACAGGGTGGGGTGGGACAGTGGGGACATTTGTGTGAGGGTCTGTGCTTCTCTCAAGGGTCATGGACCATGTATTTTATTTTCAAAAATGAATAAAGATTTGTGATTGTGTGTGTGTGTGTGTGCTCTCACACACACACCCATGCATGTGTAAAGGGGAATGACTATGAGAAATACACAGGGATGTAGAATAGTGTCTGTTCCCTTAGAGATACAGGACTTGCAGAGAGAATATGAAAGGACCTTGCAAAACTCATGATACTCAGACTAGCAGTGGCAATCCCAACTCTATATAACAAAGAGTCATGTGGATCATGGAGGAGGGGACTTCTTAGTCATGTGAAAGTCACCAAAGAATGAAATGCTGTTTTTGAGCAGTTTTTGAGCCAAATAAGATAGAAATTCACTAGTTTTCAAGAAATATTTTTTTTAAAAAAAAATGACTAGAGGAGAAGCTGGCACAGAATTGAAAGAAAAGGAATGGGGCTTGTTTGCTCTTGAGCATAAGTCAGAGGCCCCTTGGCTGCAGAGAACATCTCTGATTGAGTTTTTGGTGCAGAGGACAGGATAGGAAGAAAGAGGCTTACTTCCTATAGTCAGCCTCTACTATCCAGGTATTAGAGATGATGCAGTGTTTTTTATTTAATTCAAGCTGGAATGTGGCTTTTTGTGCTGTCCTTGTTGATGGTAGGTTAAATAAAGTGATCGTAGTCTCATGTTTGGCCTTCAACCTCGTAGTGATTTATATATCTAACCAGCACAAATGCCCGTCTCTTACCAGTGAAAAGATGAAGTTAAACTACTCTGTAAGTTTTGTTTACATGTCCTGAAAATATCTGTTGACCACTGGGATTAGAGAAATTTCTAGGATCACAGGTCCTTTGTTGCTTTATCCCCTAGTTAGACGGAGAGGTGGGAAGATTTGTTTTAAATAAGATTCACTTGATGTTTATATGTACCATGCACTTAAGGAAAATACTTGGCATATATTGACTCCTCTGAAACCACTGTGACTGTGCAAGAAGGTCATTACATTGTAATTCACATTTGACAAATAAAGAAATTGAGTTATGGAGAGCCACACAGCTAGTGGAGCCGGACCTTGAACCAACTGACCTTGTTCTAATGCTGTTGTTCTTAATTACTAAGGACCTCTCCATCATTTCCTTGGCATGCCAATGAATAAAATGAACATTTGTGAAGCACACAGCGGAAAAGGAAGGTGTTTCCCTGGACTAGGAGTCAATTTTCCTGGGACTTCAGCTGCCCCTGACCTGTCCAGTGGCCTTGATAGTTAGGGTTCCTTCTCTCAATTTACCTCCAACTCATGGTGGATGCATCAGTAGGAAAACTGCACAAACCCTTCCTATTCTTATGTGAAGAACATCACACATTACTTCTTCTAAGTCCATATCTAGCTCTTTGGTCTTCCATCCATTCCCCTTCCATATACTTGTGTATGCAAGAACCTTCGCAGAAGCATTGCCAGAAGTTTAGACAACAGACCACACAATCTCAAGCACATTCATCTGCAGACAATGAGCATGAAGGCTGAAAAGCCCATGGATACCATGTTGGATCACACAAGATTCATCTCTCCCTCTCCCCATTGTGTAGGTACAATGTGCACCAGTGACTATTGATTCTAGACCCTGGGGAGGAGGAGTGGTTCTGGTTAGCCCAGACTTCTCTGTTGATTGCATCATTCCTGTTGCTTATTGGTGATGAATTGTCATGTGACCTAATCTTAGTCCCCAGGATAAGTTGTTGGGAGCTTTAACATTTCCTGTTATTTGTAGGGCAGAGCAACAGGAAAGGGGTTTCTCTGTCTCCCCTATGAGATGCACCAAGATAAAGTATGTATCCTGTTACTCCTGCAACCAGGTCATGGTTATGAATGAACCATCTTGTCACCAAATTGGTACTGTAAATGGCAGAGTGGAGAGATTGAAAGAACCTGGGCCACTCCCATCATTGACATCTTACTGAATTAACCCACCCTAAATTTGAGATACTATGTATCCATACTCTGGTTGTTAAATCAGTTAGAGTTAGTTTTTTTTTTTTATGTTTTTTGCAGCCAAAAGCATCTGGACTATTTAGCTCTCCCCCTGGAAGCCTCTGTTCATGTCTTTTCTAGCCACTGAAATAGTAGCTCTTCACCCTTTTAATCCATGTGTATTAGTCACTTTTTATTACTATAACAAAATACCAGAGGTAGACTTTTCTTCTTTATGAAGAAAAGAGATAGCTCCCAGCTTTGGAGTTTCAAAGTTCAAGGTCAGGCAGCCTCACTGCTTTGGCCCCTGGTGCTCTGGTTAGGATGGTGGATGGCTTATATCATTACTGGAGTTTACATAGAAGCAAGAGGTCATATCTTTAACCAAGAAGTAGACAGAAAAGGAAGTACCAGTCTTGTTCCTGTCATAACAACCCTCAAATCAGACAAACAAAGGGTTATTCAAGAACTATATGAATCCCTTTGGACAGCAGTACTGTCAATCACCCAAGGACCTCCTTCAGCTCCATCAGACGCTGCCTTTTAAAGGTTTCTATATTTTCCAGTACTACTCTGCACACCAAGCTTTTACTGAATGATCCCTTGGTGACACCCAAACTGTAACCATTGATTTCTTTAAAACTATTATTTAATTTTAGAATTTTTTTCTCCTTTCTTTCTTTCTTTTCTTTTTTTTTAAACCTTTTCTTTTTTAGTATTATAGATTGAACCCAGGGGCACTTAGCCACTGAACCACATTCCCTACTTACCCAGCCCTTTTTATTTTTTTATTTTAGAAGAGGGTCTTACTAGTTGCTTACAGTCTTGCTAAGTTGCTGAATCTGCCTTCAAACCTGTGATCTTCCTGCCTCAGCCTCCGGAGAAACAATATCATGCTATAAAATAATCTGTGGTTTCCAATGCTGACCACGCCACAGCTTCTCCTATTCTAATGCTGTGGTCTATGGAGTTTCTTGGATCAAGATTATGGATTGTGATCTAAAATGCACGGAATTCCTTAGAGATGACCTTCACTCCCAAAATCCTTAACTTTGAGTCCTTCACCAAAACAACTCTAAGGTTTCCTCATCTGGTCTGTTTTCCTTCCCTGAGCTTCCTCTCCCTATCCCAGAGGCTTGCTGTGATTTTTCAGACTATGTTCTCTTGAAGTCCCTGGAAGAACTCCCTCTCCCCCTCCCCCACCCCACACTTCAGCCCCAGCATTTCTGGCTCTTTTTTATTCCCATCCCTTGAGCCACCGAGTTGTAACAGTGTAACGGCTATTTGGGCCCTGGAGCCCCAGGATTGGGAGGCCTGCTCCTCCTTGAGGACACACCCTCACCTCTTCTATATTCAGACCAAAGAGGCACACTCAAGCAGGAGCTACCTGCCATCACCACCCTGGATCTCTCTCGCTGTTGGCCCACTTCCCTTCTGTGACT